CACAATTCACTGGCCAGTCCCAGTAACTCCAGTGTTGGGTTAGCTGTGTCCCGAAAGAGAAATTAGAAATGTTGTTCGACTTATGGCTGATGTCCCCGCGATGCCCCCACCCTTGTTATTCATCTTTTTTTTTCCATGGCTACAAATGGGGGAGATATGTAGCACTTTGCCACGTTTCCTGGCTTGCTGTTCCTTGTATTCTGTGCCTTTGTTTCCAGTCCTGTCTTTACACCCCTCTTTTCTGCTGTGTCAGTAAATATTTACTCTGCTTCCCTTTCCTAGTAGCCTCCGCTGACGTCGTTGTAGAAAGTTACCCTCCCGTCCGATTTCCGGCGTGTCAGTCAGTGCGGCGCTGGTGCCTCACGCACCCCCTCCCCCCCCCCGCCCGCTGGGCCCCGGCCCCGGCGTCACCGCGGGCACGTGGCACCCTGCTCTGGGACAGGAAAGGAAGAGGAAGTTATTGCTGCACTCTCCCGCTCGCCCATGCTAATAAATCACAGCCAGCCAGCTGGCTAACTGGAGGACCTGCAGAATTACTTTCATAAATGCATGCCACCTTAACCATTTTGAGGCCCATGTGCGTACGTGCGGTGTGCACACACCCAAACACACTGACACAATCACGCACACACACTTGGGATCCCCCTGGCCTCTTGTCAGCCAGCGGATTGGGTTTCCTTCCTGAAGTTAAGACAAAGGATAGCAGGGACTCGCAGTGCGTGCTTCAAAGATGGGAAAGTGCTAATGTTGTGTTATCCTGCGGCGGGTGCCGGAACACAGGGCAGCTGCTAGTGTTTGCTCAGCAGGGGCGTGCAGAGGCCAGGTCCCTGGACTGTGTGTGAGGAACAGGCTGTGACAGGTTGCAGGTTGCCCCCGCTCTGTCTGGGGTCAGTGTCGCTCAAAGCAAAACAGCACCAGGGCGTTGCGCTGCCTAGCCCCAAACGGCACCGTACATGACAATACCACGGGGTCCTGCCTGGGCGCACGGCAACAGCGGCAGAGATGAAAACATCACACCGGGCCGTTTATCCCCATGCATGTCACCCTGCTGTGCAATTAGCAAAATGATACATAGTAAACATGAGCATCGGTTACATGTGGAATGTAGATTATGCACACAGACTCACAAGGCACACACCAATGGGGCCACAAAGCCCTTCCCGGGCTCTCTGTGTCTACTTGCCCTCTTAATCTCTGCTTGTTATCGGATGGCTAATCAATCACAGTTCTAAACCGCTAAGAGCAAGTCGGCTGGGTCACATTGGTAACTCTTGCTCTATAATTTTAGGCTGTTATGGGTGATTACTGAATACTCCTTATTCCAGTATTTACACTGACAGTATATATGTACATATTGATGGACAAAGGCCAGGTATTATGTTAATGTTTACTCTTTGTGACTATCCATGTCTTCAGTTATGTCCAGAAGGATTTCATTTTGGAATATTTGCATGTGACTTTGAATAAGTATTATTATCATGACAGTTTTTGTTATTGACATTAGTTATTTATGCTGCGTACATTGTTCCCTGCATAGATGGCAGCAGCGGTGATCTTGGAAATCTGATGTGTTCTCTCAGTAAGGAAGCGACAAGGCAGATGTGCCCTTGTCACGCCTTTAAGCCAAAATGAGCCTCGTCAGGCTTTGTGACGTGAAGCTGCTTAAACTGCTGCTGCTATGCTTTCCAGCATACGCTCTGCACAAAGCAAGCCTGGGGTCAGAGCCGGGCCGGGGAGCTGAGCCGGGCCGGGGCGCTGAGCCGGGCCGGGCCGCTGAGCCAGGGAGCTGAGCCGAGCCGGGGCGCTGAGCTGAGCTGCATTACTGTTGTCTGATGCTGAATTTTGTTAAATCAGTTAAGGGGTCAGGCGGTCAGAATAGTCTGTTGGGTGTTTAATCTCTCCTTAATGTCGAGGTTTTCTAGCAGTCTTTGCTTCCATGGAATACTGTTAAAGTAAAAAAATATTGGCATTCATCAAATCTGGATGCACAACTTTGATGATGACTAGAAAGACTTAACTATGTGTTTTTCTGTTTCTATCTATCTATCTATCTAATCTTCCTGTTTGTTTGCTTGCTTGTTTTTGAGGGTATTGCAGTGCCTCATGACCACAGTCAGATTAAGTGGACAATGTTTACAGTTAAGGGGTGACATGGTGGTGCAGTGGTTAGCACTGTTGCCTCACACCTCTGGGACCTGGGTTCGAGTCTCCGCTTGGGTCACATGTGTGTGGAGTTTACATGTTCTCCCCATGTCTTCGTGGGGTTTCCTCCAGGTACTCCGGTTTCCCCCCACAGTCCGAAGACATGCTGAGGCTAATTGGCGTTGCTAAATTGCCCTTAGGTGTGCATGTGTGAGTGAATAGTGTGAGTGTGCCCTGCAATGGGCTGGCCCCCCATCCAGGGTTGTTCCCTGTTCCGGGATAGGCCCCGTGACCCAGTAGGATAAGCGGGTTGGACAATGGATGAATGGATGGATGGATGTTTACAGTTACAGCAGGTGATGAGATCCACATTGGGGCAGAGGAGAGAATCTCTCCCTCCCTCCGCTCAGGCTTATGTGCACATTCCTGAGGACGTTGCTCCTCTCCTCCCACACAACACTGGGAGCAGTTGGGAGGGGCTGGGTTGTAGTTACACTCACTTTGTCAGCGGCCCAGCGGTGTGGGTGGTGGGTGATGGGGGGGGACAGCTCTATGATCAGCCTGCTAGCGTCTGCCTTCCCCACAGCTGCTTCAGCTGCTCCCCCCTACTCATGCTCCTCCATCATCATCATCATCATCATCAGAGCCCCCCCCCCCCTTCCCGCCTCATGCCAGCCTTGGTTCCTTCATGCCGTGCAGATGCTTAAGCACAGACAGGAAAGGGCAGCAGTAAGGCAGCAAATGTCTCAACATCTGTCTCAGTTTGTTTGTGCAACAAGTGGTTCCACATGTTCCAGCAAGAGAACCTAATAAAAACAGCTGTTTTGATTTCTCTCCAGGTTTTGAGCATCGACAGAGGATTACTTAAAACATGGTGCTGCTAATCCTGACCCTTTTTAACTAAAAAAAATGCCCACCAGGAGTGCAGTTAGGTCATTGTCATTCTTTCCTCTGTGTTGTAGTCCTAGTTCTTACATTTCGGTATAAAGACGTTTTTAAGACTTTTAGAAATGACATATTTTCACAGGGCAGTTAGGTCATTGTCATTCTTTCCTCTGTGTTGTAGTCCTAGTTCTTACATTTCGGTATGAAGATGTTTTTAAGACTTTTAGAAATGACATATTTTCACAGGGCACATCTCAGAGCAGCAGCTATCGTTTATGTATTTTGTGAAGTCAGATCTCTTCTACATGCACAAAATCCTGCAGGCTGGAGGCTGTATGGGCATTTTCTTCTCTGGCTTGTTGTGATGGTGAAGCCACAGCTTTGGTGCTGGGCCCTCAGAAGGGCATTTCACAGCACTTCAGACCACAAGGCTTCAGAATAAATTTGACTGTGATGAAGCTAAATGACTGGAGTCAGACAAAAAGATATTCTGAGGCTTGGATGTGGGTTTTTTGTTCTACATAGGGTCAGTGAATTGGGTCGTTTTTTTTATTTTATTTAAATGTGGCTTCTGCTTAGTTATATATTCATTTAAAAGCAGTTGACTCTTAAAGGAACAGTAACATTATCAAACTGTACTGTGTGTAGATGTATGCTTATGGAGAGAAAAACATAAAATTGAAACATGAGTGATAAAGACAGAAACTATAATGTAAGTGATATTGCTTTTTATGCTAGTCAGTTGTTATGTACAGTACTACTGGCGACAACTTTGAATGATGCTGTGATGCTGTCTTTAGCGACTGCTTGAGGAGGGAGTGACCTTTCGGCATATGCTAAAACATGGCTGACTGACACTTAGCCAAGTCTGAGAATGTTGACACAGTGGGCCCTTCAGGCCCTGCTGAATAGGGGGGAGAGTAAGCTGAGTGGGAGGGAATAATCCTCCCCGGGAATACGCTCCAAAGGAATGCTTATCGGACGGATGATATATTAGTCCTTAGCACCTTAATAGATTCCATTTATCTCTATACACTCCCACTTTAATTTAACTGGGGTTTCATGATGTATTCAAATGCACGTAGACATTTTGATGTACAGCAGAGCCAGGCTGTATGCCAATAAAATGTATCAACTAAGTGATAGTTAACCTGTTGTTGCCAGTCTATTACTTTTATTTTTCTTTTATAGAGTGTATGCAAAGTCATGTCCCTTATTGTTCTTTGAGCCAAAGTGTTTGATAGTAACTCATGAGAATTGTGTTTACTGTTGGCCGTTGACATTCAATAGCCTAGGTATGGGCCCCTTAAAGTACTATAATTGAATTATCCCGAGGAACATTTTAGGAGCGTCTTATAAGAATTATGATTGGTTGTTACTGTACCTATACATCACTGGGAATCTATATGCTTGCGGTTGTGTCCTTGCAATGTATGGATACTTATTGACATAGGGAACGCAGACAACAGGCGAGAATGGACTGGGGTGGCTTTAGCTCTATAGCTGACTGCCATCTAGAGTGTTTTCTAATCTGTTCCTTGGGGACCTGCAGACAGTCTGGCTGGGTGCTGGGTGGGGGCAAAAATGTGGGCTGTCTGTGGGTCCCCGAGGACTGGGTTGGGAAACACTGATCTGGATGGATAGTAGGAGGAATGTTGTGTAAGAACACATGGGTTTTCCTTACTTTCTGTGTCACTTTCTCTTTTGTGCCTTCAGCCCACACCACCATTTTGGCCAGCCTGTGATTTCTTATGAAAGTGAAATTTCAGTGGTTACCATTGACCCCCACAGCATCCCTCAAAAGCTTTGTCTCCTATAGCATTCGCGATGGAGCATGCCATTAACCCATCTCCATCTCCCCTTTAATGCAGAAGATGAGCCATAATACTATGCATGAAACAGCCCGGGTCCCCCCCAGTAAGGTGGGGCAGGGAGAGGGACACATGCGGATTAACCCCTTCTTTCCCTCGTAGATGATCAAGCGTGAGGCGCAGGTGAAGAGCCGCGTGCAAGCCGTTGCCATGACGGACTCCGTTCACAACGTCTGGCACCAGGAAGCCGGAAAGTCCACCTTAGAGTGGATGCAGGAGGTAAGCAGGCCCTCCACGCGGGGGCCGGGTGCGGCTCAGCAGGTTAAGCCTCTGTGCCTGTTCTCGGAAGGTCGCCAGTTCAAATCCTGTTTTCGGCAGAATAGTCACATCTCCACTGCGCTCTTCAGCAAGGCCCCCGAACACCCCCCCCCCCCCAAATGCTCCAGGGGCAGCAGATAAATGGCCTGACCCTGCGCTCAGACCCCAAGCTTCCCTCTCAGCTGTATATTTGTGTGTATGTATGTCTCAAAGGATGTTCCACGTTAATAACTAGACAGGTGTAAGACTGATGGGTGAGATACAACCTTAGAGTTACAGAGAAAACTCATTCTTTAAGGTAAAACTCTGCACTAACGTGCTGTTATGGGACAGACCGCTGTTATCAGACATTGTGTACTACAACACCATGCTTGACATTTTTTTTCCTCCCTCTTTCTTTGAGTATCAGTAAACACCTAAAGCAGCTGTCTGCTCTTGGCTGCTGGCCTTTTTATATGGCTGCTTTATTTAGCATGTGCCCTTTATGTAGTGACCTAAGGTCTGCCTCCTCCAGCCTTAGAGAACACCTGTGATCACTCAATATGCACATAAATTGGAGGGAGCAGATCCCTGGTGATGGCTACATGGGAGCCAAAGATGCAAATGTCACGCATAGAATAACCATCTTCACAACAGGCCATCCAGTTGTTTTTTTTTTTTTTTTTTTTTAATAATATGTCTGGCACCAAGCCTCAGTGGACAATGGTGTGAACATTGGGATTCAAGGTTGTGATAGCTGCCTTCTTCTCTGCTTTCTGATCCTTTGCAGCAGTGTGGCATAATTAGAATGTTAAGTGATTTCTATTTGTGATGATTATCCAGAACAATAAATCTGTTACAGCCTTCAGCTCCAAGAAGCATAAAACAAGAACTTTCCCTTCACTAACCCTTAGTTTTCCTGTTCTATGCTGCAGCACTGCCTGATACTAGCAAATCTGAAGCAATTGCCAGTGGCCATTTGCTGACATTTGTATAAAATTTAATGTAAAATATATAAAAGTAAAATGTGGGCTAGTAAGCTTTCAAACATCCGAGCCTGCTAATATATTTTAAACTTCTGACGAGTAAGAAAATGTCTTTTACATTCAAGTAGAACTATTAAAGACACATTTATGTTTTTAGTATACATTTACACCTAGTGGGAAAAACACCAAACAGTATCTTAACGTCAAGGACCACATTTTGCATTGTAGAAGAAGAAAAGCCTCCAGTTATCTGATTAATGAAGAAGGTGGATATATGCTTTGCCCTCTGCTCTCTGCACCTCCCTTAAAGGTTTTAATGCAGTTTAGATCAGGTAATTGGGGAGGCCACGAAAGACATTTGAATTTGTCCTGCTGTCCTTGAAACCACTTTAATTTATTTAGTAGTGTGTGTTGGTGCATTATTTTGGAATATGGAAGCATCATGAGAGAACAGTATTTACACTGCAGGATGCACCTGGTTCTGTAAAATGCTCCCATATTTCTTACCACTTCTGCAGCTATGTAGAGCGATCGTTGGACAGAGCAGTTCTTCAAAATGCCTCTCCATTCCCGGTAGATACAGTGTGTTGAAGGCCTTTCTTCAGCGATGCAGGAAAAGAGGGTAAGGGGTGTCTCATCAGACCATTCCATGTCCATTCCTCAGGATCCTGGTTTTGTACTGCTTACACCAGGTTATGGGTCTTTGTGCATTGGGCTTGGTTAGGAGCCGTCTCTCAGTGGAAGCCCTGTCATAAATTGCAGCTTTGTGAAGCTCACAATGTACAGTTTTAGCTGAGACCGGGTTGCAGAGGTGCTGTTTCGGCTTTCACTCCTGCTCTTTGGCAGCTCTGCTGTTTATTGTCCATCTGTGCCTGTTACTTTTGATTTCCAGCCACTTCCCAGTTTGTCCATGTTCGGTTTATACTTTATACTTTTATGGTTTATGAAATTGTTCGTCTTTGACACACTCGATAATTCTCCAGTGTTTCTGATCCATGCACCTGAATCTTACACACTAACTATTTGGCCACTTTGGAACTCCATTATTTGCCTCACGAATTAAAGCATTTATTGTCTGGCTTGTTTGAAACCTGGCACATCCTACTATGTGGCAGTAAGCTTAATACGATTCACCTCTGCCGCTGCATTTGAGATTGTGGTTTTGTGTCCAAAGTCCATCTCCAGCTGATGTTTCGGCTCCCCCCGCCTCCCCCCCAGTATATCTTAGTGCATTATTCACTGCTGTTCTGCACTAACGCTCCTTTTGCATCAAATCCTGGCGATCGCCCAGCAGGTTTCACAAGGTAAAGCAACACCTCTCGCCGAGTGCATGCCGGGTTTCCAATTCCCCCTCCATCCTGAACCCTGCCTTGTCAGACTTTAGTAATTCTCCTCTTAAGGGCCGAGGTTATTGGATTTCGGGGCGAGCTGAGAACCGGTTTGATTTAGAGATCAGCGCGTGGTGTGACAGGTGATACGGAGATAATGGGTCAGACGTCGGCCGGATGACGTGGTCCGTTGCTGCGTGCAGGTCTGCTCTGCGCTTCGGGAGGTGAAAATAACAGCAGCGAGATGCAACCACTGGTTAAAGTAAACTGAATGTATTGATTAAAAAAAAAGGTTAAACAAAGTGCATGCTTCATCCTGGATGGAGGAAAAGCATGTACTGTACTACAAAAATCAACCCTGCTGAAAATATAACATGGGCTCATAGAAGATCCAAAAAGGATGGCAAGGAGCTCCAAAGCTCTTCAAGACATGGGAGGAATTAATATTTAGAGAAGTGTTCCATTAAAAGCACTGGCCATCCTAAGAATTTTTCCAGTTTATTTAGATTAGACCTTTTAGCTGGATATGCCCAAAGGTTTTTCTTTCAATATGTAAATGTAGTCCCCCTTTTGATTAGATAATAGCCATTTGATATCACCTATTATCACCTGGTGCAGTAGTATAGCGCAGTGTTTCTGAACCTGGTCCCTTGGGAGGAATCAGAAATGAGGCTGGTCCCCGAGCACCGGGTTGGGAAAGGCTGCTCTAGAGGATGGCTGCATGGATGGATATGGCTATATCTGCATGCTGTATTTTAGCATTTTTATTTTATCTTTCTTAATTTATGATGGATCAGATAACTGTCATACAGGATGGGAGCCGTTATCTTGGCTGGACAACACCCGCACGCCTTATGTTACCTTACGTTTTTGTACACCAAGATTATGTTGGCTTTTAATATCACCCTAGGTCTCAACATCATCCAGTTTCCCCAACAGGTTCCCAGGTGTCAATCACCATCCGCTGTATCTTGCTTTGAGAGTCTTGGGTTCCCTGTTTACTGTTTAGTTGTGTGTGACTTTATTCCAGGGAAGCAAAGAAAGTAGTGGGTTTAGGGTGAACTCTTCCTCACCCTCTGCATGTCTTCATTTGCTTTGATTTCGTCTTTCGCTTCTTTCCCTGGTGCAGGTCTACTCTCACCTATCCCCGGCTTTATTTCTGCCTCTCTGCATGCACAGTCATCAGCCTCAGGAATTTTCACACCAACTGAGGCAAAGGAATTTGCTATATGAAAAGCAAGCTTTTGGAAAAGTGAGATGAATTATTGAAGGGAACAGGGTGCTGCTTTTTGTGTCCTCCATCCCTGCAGTGAAGGATTTCCAGTTTGTTTATGACTTTGAGTAATTGTGTAATTTGGAGAATTCTCATACCTAATCTTATTTGGCAAACAAGTGGATTTGGGTGCCTGAAGGGATATTTTTCTGTTCCATAATCTTATGCAAATGTAGGCTGTTTGCATATACAAACCTGACATGCAGAACACATACGTAAGCACACAGCACTCAGATATTGTTTTGCAGCAAACTTTTACTTTAGCATCTTTCAGTATTAGTGTGAATTAATCAAGCGAAAATGCTCTCTTTTGTAGTTTTAATACCGGAGAGTTTACAGACTGTGTATATGGTTTATTATTTTGAATACTATCTAATTCTGCAGGGCACCATGTTTGTTTTCTGGAAGAGGTTCGATGGTGTGTCTGATCGACACTTTCCTGAGACAGGCAGAAGATGTTATTTGTGAATTTCACTTTTTCAGTCCTATATTTGAGCCCTGCCTATGTTACTGCAGCTCTCACTGGCACTAAACTGTACAGTTACTCTGAAAAATCAATTCAAAATCCGTCAAACTTTTATTGGTTGATACTTGAACCTTTGAAATTCTGTCCCTTGCCTCTGCAGAGCTAACATTATATTCCAGACAGAATGAATTAAGGAATAAAAAGAAACCACTTCATTTACTAGTCTAGTGGTCTTTCTAAACTGAGGTCTAGTTCCATGATGTGTGACTAGGGAACAAGAAATCTAAAATGATATAAAACATGCTTGTTTGCTCAGCTCCATTGGGGTTAAGTAACCCCAGTGTAGTGATTACAGGCATTTTATCAAAAATGCCAAACACAAATTTTGATTGACATGTCAGTGAAAGTGCATAAGGATATGATTTTGGTTATTAAATATGCTGTCAGATATTATTTAAAAAAAATCCCTAGTCACAGAAGCCTGCTCTATATAGATAGAAAATCTATGTAGAAATTAACTTTATATTACTTAAAAGTTATGTTTTTTTTATGTTCTGTCACTAGATCAAGCTTTTCTGACCATTTTGTTCTCTAATGAGTTGTCTCATGCGATATCCAAAATAGCATAGTTTGGTCATCCAGGTGCCCGAGAACGTCCAGGTTTATATACAAACCCTTCGGTTGCTTGATCGATGGATTGCTGAAGAGGTTGCTTGGTGTGCAGCAGTTGATTCGCTGGTCTCCAGGTCCATTTCAGGTTTGGCATTCCAGTCCTCAGTCTTCGCATGTCTGGCCTATTTCAACCCCAAATCTGGTCATTAAACTTTCCAGTTTCTTTTTTGTCTGCATTGCCTGTTGTGGTATAAGCTTCCTATATATTTGTAGCTGTGGTAGTGAAAGGGTGAATCATTTTATATTTTTGTCCATAAGGTTTTCTTGATAAGGTACGGAAGTGGTTTACCGGTCACAATTGGAAATAGTGTCCCTACCATGATCATCTGGCACCAAAACGGTCTGGCACTGCTGCTGAATCCGGTTTGCCGTGGATGGACTCTGATAGGAGCTAAAGGCTCCAGCCAGTACAGCTCTTAGCATTCCTGATACACACAAGCCACCGTGCTCCAACAGTGCATTATACGCCATGAGGAGTGGTAACTATTTTATTACAATATACCAATCAGTGCGAATATTGTTGATTTATTCCACATTTAAAAAATGAGAATTATGGTATTAGTGTGGGGATAAATATTATTTTATTTCAGAATGTCGTTAGGACAGTCTGTTTAGTGCGGGATTTCCCCCAATGCGCCCACACACACACACACACACCATTGAGTGGCCCAGTAACACCATTCTGTGTGGGACGTAGTGACCCCTTGCTGGCAGAAGGCTTTAGGGCTAAGGGGGCCGGACAGGCTGCCGCTGGTTTGATGTGACCTGACCTGGGGCTGTGTGGTGTATCCATTAAAGAACTAGGTGCAGTTTGCCCTGCCAGCCATGTTTGGCTGGGACAGGCTTGTCTAGGGCAGTTGGGAGCTGGTGACAAGGGCAAGGCAGACAGGGAGGGGCTGCAGTGTTTCTGTACAGTACAGTCAGAAATGTTCATATTCTCACAAATGCTTATAATACCCCTTAAAAGCACTCTACGCCTTTTCGTAATTTAATAGGCTGGCCCATTCCTCTGCTTTGTGTTAAGTACATCGGATGTGAACATCTCCATGAAAGGCCAAAGGTTATGTGTGTTCAGTGGTGACAAAGAGGTGGGGTTTAGTGTGTTTCTAAGAGATAATCATGGAATAACATTCTGGTCTTCAGCAACGCTGCCAGCTTAGGATGGGAGAGCAGGGGGGGCGGGGTCATAACCCTGAACATGGAGGGGGGGGGTCGCTGCCACTGACCATGTACAGATCAAGGCCACCTGGGAAATGAGTCACGCAACTTTTAATTGCCTGTTTTTGTCTCCTGCAGCACTGCTGTAACTGGGTGTCGAGCACTGAGCCCCTGGATACGCCATTGGAGACCATGTTACCCGACTGCCCCCGCATCTCTGCAGGTACCATGCGACTCTCGCCCCCGGCTTGCTTGGGTCATGTGCCGGAGGTTGCCAGGTCTTCCCCCCTCGCCATGGTTATTTCTGTGTGTGCATTTCCTGTAGAAACACTGTCCTGGCTGTGTGTGGAGCATATTTATCACTAGCATGTAAATGATAGAACACATGAGCTCCATCTCACAGCACGAGTCCACTCCTTTAAAAATGGCACAGCACTTCATGTTATTATATGAATGGTTACCTTTTTATTAACCTTGCTGTGTGTTTATTATGCGTGTGTTTCGTATATTTTACTGAGTAAAAACTGCCTTGCTATTTTCTAGTGATGTGAGGGAGAGCGTTTCACTGTCTGGGACAAGCAGGATCTCAGATGTTAGCTGAGTTTATGTATGAGGTTTTGCTAAACCGAAACTGGGCTGTTAGATTTGCCGTACCATGCCTGCCCCATCTGTGCATCCTGACTCTAACTGCAAGCGCTAATGAAGAGTGCCTGTGCTTGCACTGGCCACTGCAATGAGGCTGCCATCGTAAGAGATGGTTATCATGCACTGTGCGAGATGCGCACCGGTGATTCAGCGCCTTCTTTAATAAAGGTTTATCAGTTTTAATGAATGGGATTGTGCTGTAAATGATGCTACTCCTGTAGATCCACCCCTAGCCCACTGCAGACTGGCCTACATATTGGGTTTTTTGCAAGGTTGGATTTTTGTTGTGTGCCGGCACTCTGGGAGGGTCACAGGGTGAGTCACTGCTGGTAGAAAGCAGGGTGGGCACTGGGAAACTGGGGGGTAAAAACAGACATTAACGACAAAAAGTGACACAACTATCATTTGTGCATTTGACATTTCTGAAGGGTCTGCACTTGACGTGCCAGTTGAAATTTCTTCCTTGAAGATTTCCTTTGCGATTTACCATTTATTTCTGTACAATCATTTCAAATATATAGCAGGTGAAACACCCCTAGGAAGTTCTGAAATACCTCCATTAATGGGTAACCACTAGAGGACTGATAGCCAAACAACTTAGCAAAGCCTTTAAATTTTTTTTCCTTATTATGTCCACAAGAACCATCTTACGGATAGGGCCAGTTCAAGAGTAGGTCTAAGCTTGGGCACCAGCATTGGACCCATTGACGATCCCCTTCATGTGGCAGCCTTGACTCGTCCCGCTGGAACACTGCCAAGGAGGGACAGCTCACATACAGATGGCCAAGAGGTTGAGCAGACAAAGAGACAGAAGTTTCTCGTTCAGATGAATGAAGCGCTACAAGGAGCCACTGATGCTGGTTGCCAGGGCAGTGAGAGCCTGTGCTCTGTGTGGCCTGGAGCAGAGCCGGAGGCGGAGCTTTCTGTTGCTGCTGATTGCCTGTGTAGCAATACTGGTACCAGCATGACTCAGGGCCGGGGGGTGATGCTGACATCTCTGTTTATTGTCTTTGTTGTGAAAAAAAACTCACAGATACTCTCCACTGTTCCGTTTGTCTGGATGGGGAGTTTCACTAGAAGGCCAATGCTTCACTGCCTGCAACTACCTGAAAAACCAGCAGGATTTTATCTTTTACGCACTCGCAGGACACAGTGGAAAATAATGCAGAGATAGGCTGGATGGTTCTTGAAGCCTGTTCTCCCACAGAGATCTGTGTGCTTCAGAAGGCCCCAGCTGCATTGTTGGCCCAATCAAAGGCTGCATTCTAGCATTCAAGTTCTCCTGCAATCTGAATGAGAACACTGCTGTGTTTTTTGCATCTGCCTGGGTAGAGTGAACCTAAATGAACTTGTCAGTTATTTGAATTGAAATGACTGCCTTATGCAACTGCGTTTTATATAGATTGTGTGGACGTTTTTCCCAGTAATGTTTTCCCCCACATTTGCCCCTGACTGGTACAGCATTTCTGACGTTGTGTTGCTCCTTAGTGAGTGAAGAAGTTGAAGAACTTCACTTAATAGTCCCGTTTGAGCTGCCCTTTTATGGTACTTTATGCATGTCAAAGGTTATTTGGATTTTTTTGGATTTTAGTAAATTGGATACATTGAGCCCATCTGTTGTTCTAATGGCACAGGGTTGTAGAGACCTCCCCAATCCGCTAAAAGTGCTTTGACCCAACTGGTGAATCCTAATGATGCAAAGCTGGACAGTGTGCCTTCACCTCGGTGATTTGTTTCCTGGCTCAATTATTAATTACTAAGAACATATTGAACTCAACCAGTGATTGATTGTTAACAAAGTAAGTTAATGTGTATCTAAACTTTAATTACATGTCCTGCCCTAGTACAAGGATCTGAAAACCTGTTTGTAATTAACCTTAATTGCATTTTTATTGAGGACCACATCTTGCTTTGTTTAATGTATAGTCCTGAGGTTTCCCTTCTTTCTACACTTTCCGGTAAATTCATTAAAAATAGTGTGAGTTAAATTTTCAATTTAAAATGTATGACAGTGTAGCCTGTATGCATGTCCAATTGCACTCACTATATTTAACTCAATTAAGTACTGAGCAGCTTACAGTGCTTCAGAGAATTTCTCTGGTTTAAAGTGTGAGGAAAGAAATGGCAATTTTTTGTGAGATCAGAAGTTTGCTTATAGCTGTTGGTTCTCTATAAGACATTTCAAAACGCCTTTGGCACACCATTGAAGAGCAATCATGGGTTCCCTCAATATTGACCCCAAAGCACCCAGTGTTGTAGCCCAAGCCCCTGGGGTCAAACTTGACCTGTCTCCTTCAGTTATTTTTGAACTGTGGAGGGTATCTTTATAAATAGTGCTCAGATAACTCATTGCAGCATTTCACTCCTCTCTAGAGGAAGAAAAAACCTCTGCCATATTGCCCAGCTTCATCATTTCAAAATCCTCTGCATTTGTTGTTGAATGACTAAACCAAAGTCTTGAGTAATGTAATTGTGTTTATTTCACTGTTAGTTAGATACTTAACTCTTTGTTGCAACGTGATTGAGGGAAGGACAGCTTTAAAGTTTTTACAGTCACCTCTTAATTTCTCTGTCTCTCTTGCCCTCTTGGTCCTGGAGGATCAGAAGAAACAGCCTTCATTTTCTATTCCTCTTTAAAATCGTGATGGGGACCTAAACATCTTTGATCCGTCTCCTACAGAAGATGACTGGCAGGCCCTGACCCACTTGGCTTGTGGCTTTATGTAATGAGATGAAGTTTAAAGGGAGAGTGTGGGAGCATTGTGCGGCTCCATGCCAGCCTCTTTCTTCTCTCCTGACTCTCAGAAAAATGTTTCTGCGAGGGTCAGACTCGGCTGAGGCGGACAGGGCAGATAAATGTGACGTGGTCTTTGAAAAGCGCAGAAGGATTTTGGAGAAACCTTTTTCTTCTCGTGTCATGGGATCCACGCTATCAACATGTTTTCGTGCCGACCGTTTCCGTGAGCGCGAGCGATCTCAAACGTCGAAACAGCACGTAGATCCCATAAATTCCCTAGTCAGATCTGTAATAACCAGCCGGTGAGAAACATTCCCCTGCAGACATGATTGATTGAGTGGTCTCTGTCTATTTCGCAGTCCTACTACCCCCTCCAGTACAAGGTCCGGACGGCACTCGGAAACCGGTCCGCCCTGGAAAGCAGGCCCAGCAGGGCGCCTCAGTTGGATGACCTTCCACTGTACCCTTCCCTTTTTTCTTCCTAAAACAAAAGAGACGACTCACAGCTGGGGATTGCTAGGATGAGGTGCCGGCCTTACGTCTGACATACCACGTAAAGCCCCGGGCCTCTTGAGATTCAAGGGAACGCTGAACCAGGGAACTTTGATCACTTGTATCCATGCCTTTCATTTTCCTGTGTCTAAAGTGCCTTGTGTTGTGTACTGTCTATACCAAAATGCCAATGTTGGATCAGGTGCAAGATCAAGGTGCAAGACATATTGATGCATCCGCACATAGATTTACTAGGACCCAATTACTGGCCATTTTGAAGGAAGAATCTAAGAACTGCTCTTGTTTGCCAAGTCCATTATTAATTAAAGCAGGAAGGTGTTCAATGGTCATCATGAATGGGCTGTTTATTCACTTTTCATCCTGAAATCAATATATAAAATGATATTCCATTCAGGATAGTGTGAGCATGGACGCTCAGCTTGGGGAGTAACGTAGCTTGGTTTCAAACCATCCTGAGCTGGGAGCTGTAATGAGTGACGAGATTTATTTTTTCGTCTAACTCATTTTACACAAGGTAATGTGAAAATGTAGCCCCAGCTGTTTGAGCTAGAAAAGCTTTGCCATTCCTTTATGCTACCTTTTGTGTCCCTGTTGATCTCATCTTATCTCTGGGCCTTTTTCCTCATAACATCCTCGACTTAATCTTGTTCGCGGAGATTTTTTTATTAGAAATTTTAAATGAAATCCGGTTGCTAAGCAACGCAGAAGGTCAGGTGAAGCCTTCAAAGTTTTTAAGAGCCATTCTTGCCTATATATTTGTGGGATATCTTGTGAAAATGGCTAAAAAGTCCTTTGGACCATAGGGTTGTTTAACGTCATTACTCTTTGTATGAACATTTGAAGGAAAACCCTTAGGAATACAATCTTCTGTTTATGGTTGAGGCCATAAAATACAATTACTGTAGTGTCTTGTAGTAGTACAAAATAATGCCCAAATATATACCAAATGTTTTTTTGTGTTGTATTACTTGTTCATGTGAGGCCTGAAGTGTAAAGTCCCCCCCCACCCCAATTGAAAAATGTTTTCACGTTTCTCTCGTATTAGTGGATAGATACTGATAGATACTGTGAGCTCTTGACAAGGAGGGTCAATTTTATTCTTATAAACAGTGAGTGTTTTCAGAATACATTAGGATCATCATTATTACCTGGGTGTGCTTAATTCGTTGCAGTGACAAAGGAAGAGGTTGAATCATTTAACTTTGTTGGGCACTTTGTGATGCAGTTAGATGAGCCTGCCGTAAAGGATAGCAGCCAGTGGCAGTAATGCACTTCCCAGGGCAATTTCTCTCCGTATTCAAAACTGGCCCATTCAAGTGGCTGAAGTG